TGCTTAAACTTTGAGTCTCCTCTGTTGGCCAAGAAACATGTTGACATAAAAGGGAAACCATGAGAACATTATAGAAAATGAACAACTCGACCAAATTCGCCAGTTCCAGCCAAGGACATCAGGACAACTTATGGAACGGTGGTTGCAGGGAAATTCGACCTTTACTAAATGATAAGAAGAACGTGCTCAAACAATCAAAGAGGTTCTGCTGTGTACACGCTGCTGAAGGAAGCTCACACATCAAACACGGTCCAACAATGTCGGATCAAGACCTGGAGCCTCCAATGATTTTGGACTTCTGTCTTCTGGAAGTTTTGGCACCCAACCCCCACAGAAACGTGACATCTCGTGAACTCACAGGTTCCTCCTATAGTAAAGCAATCATTGCGGGGATTCTCTGCACACCTGGAACATGGTCTGCGCGGTTGGGCCTTCAGTGAGCTCGACCAACCGCAAGAGCGCCAGCCTCAGTGGGCGGCCGAGGAACTCTGCTGCTTGAGGAGATCCGGTGGAGCCAAGCAAGATCTTTAACATCCAAAGCTATTGCTATAGCTTTCATGCGTGGGCCACCACGACCCGCAACCCAACCAACGGAACCATGAAACATACACCCAAGAACGAGACTCTCATCCTTACACCCTCTTCCGCCAATCCGCTGATGCTCACTCCGAACGCAGGCATCACAGGTCTGGAGATTTGGGGACCAAGTCACATGGGCTTGTGCGCTGAGACTGGGCAGAAAGTTCTCCAGATCATGGTCAAGCACTTCCGAAGGCAGCATCAACGAGGCATCATGTTTCTGCAATCTCTATCGAGTCTCTATCTATTCAAAAATGTGAAAAAAATAAACACCTGCGTTGCCCACTTGGCCTCGTTTCTCAAGCTTCTTCATCTTGACCCTGCCCCAACCTCTGTCAACTCGGTCCGAGCAACATCAAGGTGGACTTTCCCGAGCCGGTGCGGCCCACAAGGCCTACTCGTTGTCCAGCCGCCACTGAGAAGGTGAGCCCTTTGAGGACCTCAAGAGTTTGTTTGGGAAAGCCAAGTCCAGAACGGAGTAATGGAAGAGCCTTTAGCAGTTCTAGCCTTAAAACAATACTTATTGGCAAATATGGTCACTGCTGTGGGAAACAACACTATCAACACTATAGAGGTAAGCAAGCTCATGATTATTGGTTGTTGTGCTTCTTTTATGTTCTCTGGTTGGTTGTGGATGCTTCTGGGTGAGTTCTGTTGATGCAATGTCGGCTTCAGAAGAGTGATGGCAAGTTTAAATCTGCGTGGATCTAAGGCTGATACATGGGGTGTTCTTTTTTCACCTGGATGAATGTGACCCATGGATGACCCTCGCTCGAATGCATCAACAATCATCAACATGCGTCTTATGCCTCAGGCTTCATTCCCAGCCCGTCAAGACGTGCGGCGCCGCCGCGTTTCGGCGGCCTTTCGGCGTTCCAAGTGGCCAAAGGCAAGTGTGGGCGGTACCTTTGACAGCCAGGCTGCCGCCCGCGAAATCGAGAACATGTGGCGAGGCACAGGTGCTCACACACAAAATTGTATACTATATAGATTACATATATATATACAAAATATATATATATATCTCATTACATAAATATTCTCAAATATTAAACATCTAATTATGCATACATGCACGACTTTTGGCAATCCCTTCCAAACCTTTGGCAACAAATGCTGCAGGCAACTACCAGTCAGGGAGCCTCCCTGAGCTGATAGCATCCTGGCCATCCTCCCTTCCACCCACACACATCCGAGGCGGGCGGGTGCAACATATTGCTGTTCCTGAAGCAAAGCTTGTCAATGTTAAGCCACCTGGTCACTGGAGATAACACAAAGTGTGGAACTGGAGCTTGTAGTGGTAGCCTTGCCTCATATTGTTGTTTACTAGTTTACTGTCGTACAAGTCTGCATGAACATGGATACAGTATGTTCAGCTGTGTGGCTCAACTGAACTCAAAGAGTACTAGTACCTTTAATCTATATCTATCTATATATCTATCTTTAAATATTATATAGTTGTTTTTATATATATATAAGCATTTATATGATCCAGTGATGGATCCTACAATCGTCAAGCTCAGGGCACGAACGGCAAGAACCCCTTGCATTGCAGCAAGAACCCCCTGGTTTCTGGCATCTCAGGGCAACGAATCCCAACGGCAACGACTCCAAAACATGATCTTTCTTGTTATGGTGCTCTATACCTATGGTGCGTGACCGAGACAGGTCAACTGCATTAGAAGAAAAGGCCCATTTGGTACCTGTAGGTATCAAATGCTAGGTTCAACCGGAGGCCCCCTCAAATAAGGTACATGTGGGTAAGACATCATCAGCCCAGGACCGCTTCCTTGCACATCAACCCAGGGGCTTGAGCTTCACATTCTCAAAGACCAGGGATCCTTTGCTCGGCCAACTTGCCAATGATTGAGATGCCACCATCACCTGCGCTGGATTGTGGAGGGCAAGTAGGTCAATATTGTCGAAGACTTCTTAGCGTAATACAAAACTCTGAACTGATAATCTCAACAATCATCTCAATCATCTTGTTGGATCTACCCAACCCATTTTTGGCACAGTATCAAAACCTTGTTTTAAACATGTTTTGCACAAGTGCTTTAAGGATTGGTTGACGGGGCAGTTGTCCTTCTCGCCCATTGGTGTTTCCGGACCTTCTCTTGTGGCACGCTCTTGAAGTGCTGCCTGGGCTGGGCTGTTCAGACCGGTTACGCCCGGAGGCGACCCGATGTCACCGCGCTGAAGTCCCCTGACGAGTCGAATCATGAAGGATCTCTATGGAACGTATCATGAGATATCATTAGTACGTCGGAATGCCGCTGATTCTTGGGGTCAGGGCTGTGGACAAGCACACTGAGCTGTCGAAGCTCATCTACGACAGGTGGCGAAATGGCAATTTGGCTTCCGGTGTCCAGGGAATAGGAGAAAGGACAACAGTAAAGAAGTTGCAGGCAAAGCGCAGCCTTTCCACGGACGTAAAGTTGCTCTCCACATCTGCAGAAGTCTTCACAGTCCTCAAACATTAGCTCAAAAAGATGCCACATGCTGGAAGATACTCGAATGAATCAGCGAATCAAAGGTGTGCGCATGAGCTAGGGGAAGTCTTCCCCTAAGGTGTGTGGTAGGCTCCAGGAGTCAACAGAGTCACGCACCAATCTGGCCACTATTCCAGAAGTGTCTAGAAAGCTTGTAATTTGTATAGCCTAGAAATACATTTATTGACATATTAATAATAATCTGAAGATTATGCAATGAGTCTAGCATAGTCTAGCAAAGTGACCACGTTTGAATGCATTGACCTGGTTCCGGAAACATTTCTCCTCACAGCTGGCTGCCTGAGCCCAAACTCACTCCTTCCCCTCCCCTTTCATCCCCTTTGCGGTAGATGCATGCTAAATCCCTCCACACGAAACGCGTTTGGCCATTACGTTTGGCCCACGGAGCACCACATGTGTCAGATCGGAGGAGCCCAGTCCGAGGAGCAGGTGCAAACGTCCCAAGAGGCCGGCCGAAGCTGCCAGAGCAAGGCCGGCCAGTGCGGGTTCCAAATGATGATGGAAGAGGATCACCTCAAATCCATGGGTCACCGGCGCAACTTGTTGTTCTGAAAGCACGGGCAAAAACACGGCTTGTTCCATGGGTTTCCCTATGAGCCCCACCACACAGCCTCTGGATGTCTTCAACAAACAGTTGACCGCAAACAAGGAACCCTGGGAGCTAATCTATTGCCAAGACTGTCCCGCGCGAGGCTTTGGAAGAGAAATCCACGGAAATTGAATGAAATTGATGCAAACAGAACTTGCAATAAGTGTCCTGTGCTTGTCACATCACCTTGAATGCAGCGCCTAGGTCTACCCGCCCCCAGCTTTTTGTCTCCCAAGCCTCCCTACAACTCTATAGACTCGCAGGATCAAGGGTCTGTAAGAAGTGCTGAGTAAAGTGGTAAGTGCTGTATTGTTTCGCTCTTTTGAATGATCCCCGTCCTCATTCAATCCCTGCAGAACCAGCGCCGTCAAGCTACTATGATGGTCATCACAGCAATGAAGGTGGCTGAGAGAAGATTCACACGATACACCAGGAAAGGCACCAATGCATGAAGATGAAAGTACATCCTCAGATGCTGCGGGGATATCGAACATACCACCAGACAAATAATCGAAAACGCACCTGGTCCATCGAAGTTCGGTGCTGAGCACCTGTCAGCCACTGACGTAATGCCGTGAAGAACGGGGGTCGCCTAGATGGGTCCACTCCATGCAAGTACGCCCAGGCTGAAAATGGACTGGAAAACGATGTCCTCAACTGCCGAACGTGGCTCCAAGCGCTTAAAGTTGTTTCACTCAATCCGTCAGCTTCGTCCTCGCCTGGAAACGAAGCTTGTCATGCGCAGCGGTTGGTCCGTGCAGCGTGCATCGCGATGCGTCGCTATAGGTCGAGTGGTTTTCCCGAGCAACGCACCTACTGTGGAGCAAGTCACCTGCTGTTCTGGTCAACCTTGGAGTAGAAGCTCTCTCGAAATCCTCGGATATTCGCCGTCCCGTTTTGGAAGTCCAAAACAGTTGCCAACAAAGCAGTTCTTCAGTCTATACATATATATATATACTAATACTATCCAATACATTGTAAACAACTGCTGCACAACCAGCAGCTGCATTGTTTTACATTCCCCTTTCTACCCACATAGAACGTCCAAAATCAGCAGTTCACTTGTGATCATGAGGGCGAACTCATGCACCGAAAGCCAGTCTTTCGTCCGAAAGCTCTTTGTGAGTCTTCCCGACCGTACCTCGGGCACTTTTGACGCGAAGCCACTATTGATCCTGTTTTGCCAAGTCGGCAGCAACCGTGATTCTCACGGAAAGCGGGTGTGAGTCAAAATGCCGAGGGATTTGGAAGGGTGGTTTTTGCAAGGAAATGCCATTTAAAGGTGTCCTGAGCAAATCACAAACATCTTACATGATCATCATGGACTAATTAGCCTTGGGCCGACCCTTTCCCCGTCCAGCCGCACTCTGCCCACTTTGTGGTCGACAGATCTGGCCGGCCTCAAGAGGAAATGGCTCAAGCTCATCCTCGGTCGATCAAAACCCATTTGGGTACTACGGTACGGCACCTTCCATTGACATAGTTCATGAAGCTTGGCTGCAACTGCTCACGTCCATGGAAGTGGGCGACTCTCCCTCTTAGAGGGTGGAGTCGCGTGGGCCTTTTGTGAAACTGCCACGTCTCAATCGAACACTGGCGAAGGCTCAGGTGGCATGTCAATCTCTGGTTTACGGGTGACCGGCAGTTGTAGCTTGGCCAGCCTGCATGCACCAAACCACCACCAAATAGAAAAAACAAAAAAAACACTGTAAGCAAACCCGCCTGAAACGTTCTTAATTTTCTCTTGTTCAGGGTTGCTGTAGAACCACGAGTCAAAGCATTGTAAAATCTGGTCTTGCACTAGCAAACTGCCATCCACAAACATGGTCCTCGAAATCACTCCGGATGGGTTCTCCACTGTGTTGGCTGTGCTGCTGGCTGTGCTGTTGGCTGTGCTGTCTGGCGCAGTCAACACCACTGGCAAGGGAAGACTTTCGGACTCGGACTCTGCCCGCTTTGGCTCATAGAGGGGGGCAGGCTTGTAGCTGTTGAGCAGCAACTCTCGATGAATCCTAGAAACCAAATTTGGACTGAAATCAACGATAACAGCAACTGTTGTTAAAATATGTTAAATGCAAAACGTCCATTGTTCACGTAAAGATCCCATCCCCGGCCCCCTGGTTCAGAGTGTGGTCTTTAAAAACATCAACTTTGAGGACCAGTTTCCTCCCAAAGTTCTTGAATCAACCGATGACGCTTTGCTACAATATAATGTATATATAACAACATGTAACATGTAAGTATATAGATACATTTTTACACCACCATTCACATCTACATCTACATGTGCATTTACACACACATATATATATATATATATATACATTCATACATAAAAGAAAAACATATATATATATAAACACAATGCACTGAACAAAAAATAAGGATCCCCTTGGGAATCTGCTGGGCCTGCGGCATTTCACGTTATAAAAACATGTTTTAAGAATGCGTGGAAATGGGTGCCACCACTATAACATGCAAATCCACATGTTTATATATTATAATTAAAACTGCTTAGAGGCATATGGCTTCTGTCAGATGTCTTGAATGTCATTGTTTTTTGCAAAGCATGAAGGGCCCGGGTTCCAACGACAAACACAAGATAGCATCCGGACACATTTTGGCTACGTGAGATGTTTTCTTCAATTGATTTTGTTTGCGTTTTTAATTGTGGAATGGATCGAAAACTTGTTTGTGGTGGTGCCTCAAGGGCATCCAAACTAAGTGGCTAAGTGGCACAAGTACCTCATATTGTTTTCTAGGGGTCTAAGGGCAAATTCTGGAGGTGCAGGTTCTGTAAAAAGGGTTTTCCTCATCTGTTGGCACTGTTTTTTTTAGCGTGTCTGTGCACAAGGTGGGTTGCTGTTTCTGCACGCAGCCGCTGCTTCATGGGTCTGTAATGTTTCCTTCATGTGTTTTTTTGGGCTTGATTGTGGAATTGGAAAGCTCGAATACATGCTTTTGGTGATGTCCCCAAAGCATCCAGCATGACTGACATGAGTACCCCGGCTTGCTCTTTTTCGGTTCTCAAAGCCAATTCTGGTGGTGCAGGTTTCAAAAGATGGTTGTCTTCATCTGTTTTCACTGTTTGGCCTCAAATTCTCACAAGGGGCCATTTTATAAGCAATCAGTGTGTGTCTGTTCCCTAGGTGGCTTTCACTTTCGAACATGTTCAAACCACCTCCATCCTTGAGCATCCTTCTGGCAAAGAAAATTTTAGAACATCCATATGAACCCGCTACATTCCATTACCAAATCTTCATCGCAAGCGCTCTGTATATAAAATCATTCTACCGGGTTCCCATCTTAGGTAAGTGAAACGTTCCGTGTCATCAGGCAGAAAAACATGTTTTCTGAAATAAGAATCCAACCCCTGATTTGGGTGCAGAGCGGTTGTCTGCTTTATAGAAAGGGGTCTTTGGTTCTGCATTTTGTAAAGGAAAAGGATACTAATTTTATATTGACATGCTAGAGCTGCTTTGTTTAGGGATCGGATGTTTTCGCGTGGCAAGGCCTGCATTTGGACCTCCAGGAAACCTTGTTATCCATCATGGCGCCCATGTACCAACAGCAGCTACCGCATTACAGCCAGTTCAAAAGGTAGGACAATTGGATTGGGCATCGTCATTCACCCTTTGAGTTTGTTTTCAACATGGAGGTCGAATCTTATTGATTTTCGCCAATGATTTGCGGTTGACTCCATGGAGGAAGAACAGGACGTCCCGTCACTTCTATCTCGCATTTCGATCACAAAACATGCATCAACTGTTTTGACTGCATGTGCTGTGCATCGAAGGATCCGTTCAAAGTTTGTGTGCTGATCTGTGCGCAAGGAACATACCATCTCTTGGACAGACTTTGTGGCCAGGAGCGGCGCTACGCAATCGCCTTTGTTCACCTCAGCTCAGGGTTTAACGGCAACATCCATCATTCATAACATATACAGGTACCAAAGGACCGGATTGCTACCAATTCCAACTGCACTGCCCTCTCAGTACTGGATGTGACAAATCAATCACCTTGGGATGGGCCCACGATGGCCCACGACATGCCAACACGTACTGGCCTGGCCTCCCCGCGAAGCTTCAATAAACCCTGCACGAGCTCTTGGATATGAAGCGTTCCGGACCCATCCGCATCGATAACTTCGAAGAGGTGTGCGCGATTGGACGGTAGTTCCAAGTCATCCATCAAGGCCTCTATCGAACGCGGGTGCGGCGGTGTCACTACATTAAAAATTACGTTACTTCGAGTTATCCCCACCATGACATTTCAATCTGACGAAGCATGATTTCGACTTTTCTGGGTGGGTTATAAGTCGCAGCAGCACCGCTCGTGGTAGCTGCCAGCGCCCGGCCTCACGGCCGCTCTCTAGAGATCCTTAGACCAGGAATGCCCCCCCCCCCAGGGTCACCGAAAAGACGTCTTCGCACGATACACGACGTTTCTGCCGGACAAATGCGGCGGCTTTGCGAACAGCGGCATTCTGCCGGAGGACGACACCATCGTTATTCCAAGCCATACGGGCCAGGAAATCACCCCTTGGGTAAGACAAAGTCCGAAGCGCCGAGAGAGAGAGAGAGAGCTACAACTCCACAGCACACAATGTGTGCTAGGAGTCACGGCTTCATTGCCGCCACACAGCGCGGCCACCTCGTGAGCAGTGGCAGTGTGGGCTGTTTCGAAGGTCATCCACAAGCTGCTCGGAGAATCTTGCTGAAGAATCCCGGCAAGCGTTGTTGCATCAACGCGAGAGCCGGACAACCATTCCAAGAAGTGAGTCCGGCGCCAGGCCTGCCTCATTTGATGAGCATAAAGGTCACCGAACTCCACGGGCATGGACATAGTGCCATTCCCAGAAACAAACAGCGTCGTCGGCAAGGACAGCATCAAAGCCTCACAAAGCTATTTTGAGAGCCCGCAGAGAAAAGCTTCCCACGTCCACAACCACTTCAGGCCTTTTGTGGCACCATGTGTGGAGTGCTTTCAAGAATCTCTGGCAGGCATGGTACTTCAAGTCAGCGATGTGCCCGGTTGTGGAATCCCTTGACAGCAAGGTGACATAGCCAGCTGAATTGACTTAATCTGCTTTTGTAAGGGCCCGACCGTTGAAGAGCTCACCCCATACCCGCTTGGCTCCAACGGCCGAGCTCACCATGGCCGCCTTGAGGCTTTGAGATGTCTGCAAGGCCGCGATCCTTTTGTCTGCTGTTTTGCAGCGTCCATGCCAGACCATGGAGACGACTGACAGTCACTCTTTGGACATCTGTCGGCAGGAACCTGACTGATATCCGGGCAGGCACCAGCCACATTTGGAACATGTCCAACAAAATCCCGTAGCGACACCCATTCTCTATTTGGATTTTCCAACATGTCTTCTGACATTTTTGCTATTTTTTCTTGCAAAATCTTCTGACATTCTTTCAACTGACATTATTTTCAGCATATCTTCTGACATATCTCCGGACATTCTATCTGACATATCTTCTGACATTCTTTCTGGCATCTCTTCTGACACCCATTCGGGCATTCTATCTGGCATAACTGCTGACATTCTTTCTAGCATAGCTTCTGACATCTTTTCTGACATCTCTTCTGACATTATATCTGGCATATCTTCTGATATTCTTCCTGGATCTTCCTGGCATCTCTTCTGACATTCATTCTGGCATATCTTCTGGCATTATTTCTGGCATCTCGTTTGACATTCTTTCTGGCTGGCGGTTGCGGTCCAGCGGGGAACACTGCCAGAGCTGGCGGAGCTGGCGGTTGAGGTCCGGCGAGGAACACTGCCATCCGGAGCTGGCGGTTGAAGTCCCGTGGGGAACACTGCGAGGAGGAGGCGGAGGAGCAGGAGGCAGACGAGGAGGAGGACGGCGGCTGACATAAAACCACACAACAATCCCATGAAAGATTGGAAAAACAGCCTACTCCCACTCAATAGTCGAAGATCGGAGTTGTTTCGACAATGAGCCCATGTGATATCCAAAGGCCGCGTATGCTTATAATATGGTTAAATATCGGGAGTTGCGAAGTCAAGGAGGACGAAAGCGAGCCTTCAACCTATGGAGCCGCTCCCGCTCTACACGAAACAACGCAGGGCGTAACCAAACCCTGCTTGGAATCAAGCAATGATCTGACTTCCAATCTTATAGCTGGACCTATGGCTGCCCAACATCCATCGCTGGGGGGCTCTCTGCAAAACACAGGCCATGAGGCCAATTGGAAAATACAACTCTATATAGAATGCACGTCCAGCATGCGTAACATCGTCCTTGAGGTGCCTCACCTGCAAACTCCAACGGCCAAGCCAAACATGTTCTGTTTGTCCAGGAAACGGCCTCTAATACAATTGCATGGCCTGTGGTGTCTATAACTTTGCTGACCACCTCCTCCAAATTATCATGCAAACATGGTTTCTCTATGGTTCCTCATGCAGTTGTCAGGCACTCCAAGTGTATAATGAAGAGGGCCGGGAACAAATGCTCAAACAACACATGCTTGCCCGTTGCAAAGCAGTACCCCCCAAAAGGTGTCCTTAAATGTAAATATGGAAAACCATTACGCTTCGCTTAAGCGGCCCCAGATTTGACCAGCACAATGACTGCCAATCCATGATCTTGTTCGCTGCAACTGTCACTGGAGCGCCGGATTGAGCCGGCAGGGAGTTTCTCGTGAAGAACATGCGGCGTGCAGCCTTGGAGGCAACCACACTTTGCGGACGAGGCGCTTTCTTAGAGCGGGTGCACCCAGTGAGCTAAATAAAACCGGCTTTGCCAAACACACGCCAAAGGCAACGAAAGCAAAGCCCAAAACAACACAAAAAGGATGACATCTATACAGCCAATCAATTTTGTATACCTGTGGCCGGGCCTATTCCAGGGAGAGAAAGACTTCTTCTCGGTTTGTTGCATGGCAAAAATTAATCACCTCCTTGTCCCGCCCACATCAAAACAATTTGCTTTTGCATGCACGGCGGAGACGCACTCCGCTTGGAGCACAGCAAGTCCTACATTTAGCCACAAGACACGTCAACGCCTGTGCTCACCACCACAACAACAACAGCAACAAGCGTGCAGGGCAAATATCACGCTTCCAAGTACGGGTGGGTGCGTGGGGGAGAAATCAAAAGAGGCACTGCCCTCAATTTCTACCCAACCCAAGCACCGCTGCTGCTCACACGTAAGCCAAGATCATCTACCTCCAATGTCCAAAGAACTAGGACCAGTGATGTTGCAGAAGGGTTTGGGTGTACACTAGCCGTATCCAGTCCCACCCCAGTGTACACCCCCTCCTGAGTCAATAATAATTACAATTGTCAATGACGGTACGGTAGCAAGTACAGCTTTTCACCGCTCACATTGGCTCACAATCGAATCCTCCACACAAACCTGTGCAAATGAATGCCATGCTGTTGCAAACGGTGCCCCAGCCTGCACTCCTCGATCATGAATCACCAAAAGAAAGAGCTCCTTGGAGATCTCGATGTTCTCCTGAATCTCATCATCTGTAAAGAGCGTTGCAGATTGGCTGATCTCCAACTGAGAGAGCTCAACTGCGTGATCTTCCATCACATGGAAGACCTCACGGTGTTGCACCAATGAGCGAAAAGGACAGGCAAACAAATTGGGCACTTGTCCCAACTGCAGCGATTTGCAACTTGTGCACCAAAACTTCCCCTCTCCGTTGCTATTCCTTCAGTTTTGACACAACTTTCCGAACCAAGGGATAGGCTAAAAATCAATGAACCCAGTTTTGACAATGACAAAGAACTTATTGCGGTTCAATACCGCCAGCTTTAATGACATATAACCACCAACTCAAAAATGCCAAGCTACGTGGTGTGCTGCAGCGAATTTCTTCAACAATTCCCGGGTCGCGCGGGCCACTTTAATCGACTCCAGGCTGTATTGCTCATCACTTTCCTTGGCGGACCTCATGGTGATCTCCACATAAACAGCCAGAATCCTTGGCCAATTTTGATGGGCAATGCTTCTTTCGACAATTCGTGTCAGGGACAGCTCGGCCGAGGAAGCCTCGTGCTTCTACCCGAAAAATATACAGTATGTAATATAAAGATTACAACAACAGATTCATCAGTGACTTGCCAAAGGGTGCAACATCTGTATACTGGCGTGTTGATGGTGAGCTGCATCTCAACCCATTGGTTATCCTATTTGATGAGGCATACTGATACTGTATCAACATCTGGTGTGAGACCTCATCTGGTGTGAGACCTCTGTTGAACCGTGGGACCCTTAGGGCACATGAATCAAAAAGTTAGAAGGACGCGGGTTCGAACACAGCACAAAATGAAACAACGGACCTTTCCTGTTGAGTGGCACGTTGAAAATGCCCATTGTGACCAACATGTAGCTGGCGATGTAGCCTAAAACGAAAATTACGCCAAACTCTTGGGAGAGCTTGGAGGTCAAGGAGTGCCCAAGCTCGTCCACACAATCACCTGTGAAGCAACCTCAGTCACTAAGCTAAGTGGGATCAGCGGTTGGAAAGTCGTGAGACATCTTGCGCAGCGCGCGCACACGCACACACACACGCACACGCACACGCGCGTGCCTTTAACCATAGTTACATGCCTGGACCTTCCTGCTGGGGTGTCCACTGGAGACCCCTAAGAAGTGCAGGGTGTTCCATTCCTGACCCCAACAGGACGGTGCTGGTAGTACATGTAGGATCGTGACCATCCACATCGGACCATGAGCCAAAACTTAAACAGGATGGGCCTGAATAGTCACTGAATGTTCCAACTTGCATCTTTCAATTGAAAAACATCTTAGGGTCAGAGTTAGATTTTCTTCAGCCAGCCGTTGGCAGTTTGTGGCAGCACACATTATATATATACAACTACATATGCAGTAATTGTTTGTGTGTTTCGTTATCAATGGTTCGGCTGTTGTTGCCCAAGTTTTGCAAGTACCTGCAGTCATCCACGTCCGGATTCAGGCGACATTCCTCCGAACCTTCATTGTTTCGGACTGGTTACTACCAACTTCTCACGCGTCCGGGCTGCGGAATGCAGTAAACATGGTTGTGGGGATGTTGTAGAAGTAGCTTTCAATACCAATCCGCAGTAAGACCTGTCGATCCAGAGTGATGGTGGCAGTGCCAGCAATCACATAGATCACCTGAGCTGGTTGGAGATGTCGGGTCCAGGACTCAGGGAATGCGACAATGGAAATTGGCTCATGTAGACTCTGGATTAATACACCCCCCATATGAAGAGGATGTTCAATAGCTGTCGGGCTCAAAACCTTCAGCTCAGGGTTGCGGGCACCCAGGGAGGCGCGGCTTTCCTCACGGAAAGCGTGCCTCGTCCACAAAGGTTGGATACTCCTTTCCACCGGCCCCTTCTGTGTGTGTCCTTTGTGCTTTGCTTTGACGTGTGATTGCCATGGACTGCAGTGTACTTCATGATCCCTATGCTTCCAAGATGCAATTGCTCCTTGATACATCCACACGGACTGGGTTCTTTCATCAGCTGAAGGGCAAGTTCTGTTGTGTTGGAGCTGTTACGGATTGTGGGTTGAATGATCTGACCATGTCCTTGCTGCGGTTCACCCCATGTGCTGGCTTCAGACAAGAAGTCACTCAGGCTTCTTCCTGGTATGCAGATTGTGTGCCTTGGAGACCCGACAGCCCCATGTACTGGGTCTGACTGGTTCTTCTCGGAGGACGCTGTTATCGTTCCCAGACCGGAGTTTGACAATGACTTGGCCTGCAATTTTATTCATGGGTTTGTGGAGCCTTCTCAGGCTGGTCCCAAGCAGCTTCCTTTTTGTCACGAGCAGATTGTGGACATTGTGTTGGGCAACAGTTTCACATTGACAAGGAAGACTCGGTCATGTCCTTGTGGGCTACCAAACATGCTGGGCAAGTGTTTCATCCTCCTATTCAACCACAGCTGGTGTGGAATCCGAGCAACCACATTGGTATATGTGCTGACATCGAGGACTGGACTTTTCTCCACTTAGTTGCTAATTGTGCCAACACACTTGTTACACTTTCCCCGCCATGTCCGACATGGTCCAAAGGGGGGCGGTCTCAGGGGCTCAACCACCCCAATGGTTGGGCGTTTGTGCATGCTATTGAAACATGTGTTGCCCTCCAGGCGAACATTGTTGTTGCCGAGTGTGTCGACGAAATCATGCAACATGAACATTTTGGATTTATTGATCTCTTGTTCAAGCAATTCGGTTTCGTTCGAATCTTCCAACAATCCACCCCTCACCACCATTTTGCAAATCACATGAGAACCCGGTGGCTTGCAGCTTGGATCCGAAGCGACACTCGACCTGCCTTTTTCGATGTGCGATTGATTCCTTCGATCACCCCACGTCCAGCTTGGCATGATCAAATGTATGAGTTCGATATTCCTCAGGTGTGGGAGTCTCAGCTTCTGTTAGACCAACATGCCTTGCGAGAGTATGGGGATTACAAACTCTTGCCTCCGGCTAAGAAGTCTGCATTGACCCCCAAATGCTCGCAGGATGATTGCCTCAGGGCTCGTTTCCCGCGACTTGATGAACCTCTCCCGGCGCTGTGTGCGTCATACTCGGCTCAACACAGATTGAACGATGCACATATTGCTGCCAAAGGTGTGTTTGCAGAGCTGGAGGATCACCCCCGGGGTATTTCCTTCTTTGACCCTGCACGGTTTTGTTCCCTTTTTGGAGCTTGCGAAGAAGTTGTTCTCCCAACGAACTTGCAGGATGCTTTTCGGTGTGTAGGCAATGCCATCACGGTCACACACGGGTTACTTCCGCTGCTCATTGCATTGCAAGCTGTCTTTCCGGAGCGGTTTGATGTACAGCAATTGCTCCGACAGGCTTGGTCTGATCGTCTAACAAGCTACAATGCTGTGCTGTTCCAAAAAGACGAACATATCCATTTCACTAAGGTTCACCATGCAGTTGTCAAGCATTTGTCCATTCACAAGCCACTTCGATCCGACGGTCCTGTGCTAGTCCGAATCGAGTTTACTGCTCATGGGACCGATTGTGAGTTACAAGTTGAGCCATCCGACTCGTGTTTCCAGCTGTTCAACCGTGTGTTTAGTGGTCCGTCCACTTTGCTTCGTGCTTTCTACCTCGCCCATGAAGAGCACCATTCGTCCTCGTGTTGGAACATTGGTATGTTTCATGCCAGAGAACAGGTCTGGACAATCAAGCTCCGACAGTTTTGTGTTGGTCGCATCTCTTTTCGGGGAGTTCATGACTACAGTAGACCACTGCCCGCCGTGCCACCAGCTCAGGTATCAATCTCGCCCACTGTGCCCTTCGATCCGATCCCTGAGCCTTCAGTCAACGAGCGAGCCGAGACCATCTCCATTGTCGTTGCTGACATCGACCAAGTTGTCACAACTCCTGAGTTTGACATTTTCATCAGTGCCCTGGAGTCCATTGCAATGACTGCGGAGTCACACAGTTTGCAGATGCCAATCCTGTGTCCGGACATCGCAATCACCTTCACAGCGAGTATCCCCCAGGCTGCTGTTGAAGTCTTCAAGGCCTTCGTTCGAACTCAAGCCCTTGGGCGTCACATGTCTTTTCGGCTCATTGAAGATTCGGGCGCCGCTGGTGTTTGTCAGAGCATATTGATCCAGCAGATTCAGGATCCTTCATCATCTGAAGTGCTTTCACTTTTGTATGAAGAGGGAACCACTGCACCCCTCTTGGCGCACAGAAATTTTGGCTTGGTATCAGCAGACACGATCTACAATATTCACAACAACCCGCTGGCCATCTCTACGGTCAATGGGAACCGACTTGAGGATGGAGCATTACATCGCCTTTCTGACCTCGATCGAATTGTTCTCGTTCCGGGTTTGCCAGTGCGTTCAGGGGGCCACCATGGTTACCAAGGATTTCCCAAGACATTGGCAGCCGGAGCCTCTCTATCCCAGCGTGCGGAATACTCCATCGACACACATGGGTGGCTTGCGTCCGATGAGCTATTCTACATCACGCAGTTGTTCGATTGGGCCTCTGACCATGCCGTTCATTTTGCGCCTCCAGTGTATTGGGATGTGACATCTAGCGATTTTGATGAGAGCCCTTATGGTGAGCTTGATGTTGCCTTTGATCAACCCACCGTTATCCCAATCTTGCTGCAAGCTCATTGGGGAGCTATTGAAGTTCTGAGGAAAGAGAGTTCCCTTGACATCAAGCTCCATCAGATCCCGCTACACTTGCATCACTTGCTGGTGAGGATTGTGGGCAGACGCATGGATGTTGGACTCAATCGTATCTCCTTCCAAGCAGAGTCTGAGCGATTCATCCCGCATCTTTGCGGTTGGCAATTGATCTACAAGTGGGCTTCTGACCTCAACCTTTTCGACCACATCCCGGACATCACTGGTCAGTTCAATGTTCCCACTCCTGAAACACAGAATTTGATCCGAATGGTTGTCACTGCTGCCATTGAAGATTGGCGAGATGCACAAGCTCCACCTGCAGTGGCCCTCTTTGCTGCCAAGCTCCGGCGTTACTTTTTCTTTGCGGTATGGACTGCTACAGAGCAAGGACGCCCAGCATCTGAGCATACTCTGTTGTCTGCTTACCCGCAGCACTACATTCAACCTCCAGCTGCTCCTCAGCCGCTTCCGCTTTCAAGTGCAACCATGAGACAAGTCATCACATCTCGCATCGAGTCGAGGTTTGACCATATGAGTCTGCATGCTGGTTGGCTTGCCACAGATGAGCTGGATCATTTCTGTGAATTTGTCCGTATCATGGACCCGCAGATTTTGATTGCGCCTGCTCCAGTGTGGTGCCCTGTTCGTCAAACCCTGGTTTTTCCGGGCAAGCCGACTCCAGAGTATCGACCCTATGGGCACATCATTTGGCCGATCATTTACCACCGCCACTGGCTCCAGATTGAGGTCTACAAGGTCCATCATGCACAGACTATTCACCTGATGCTCACAGCACCTCCAGCAATGCATCAGTCCCTTAATCACATTGTCAACCACATTTTGAGTGCCTTGAATGTGATCCCGTCGTCAGCTACGATCACCTACTTCGTGCAAACGACACCACCGGGTATGTGCGGCTACTCTCTCGTCAAGGACATGTTTGACCGCATGGCTCTCACGCTGCCGGATTTTGCCACACAGCAACAGCTGCGCCTGACCCTCTCTGAGCACGCACCTCGGATTGCGGTTTTGCAGCATGAGGCCCGCAGAGTCTGGGATCGGTCTGGTGCTGCCAACGACCTGATTCTTTTTGCTGGGAATGTTCGCTCCACATTCCTGCTCAAGGTGATCAGTAATGACTTCCCTGCTGACTATTTTGCTGGGGGTATGGATGATGGCTCAGGCTCTACTCTACCCTCGGCTCCTTCAGCGCCTTCCACTGCAAAACCGGATCCGGTTTGGGTGAATGATCCATGGAAGGCCTACAAACCGAAACAACAGCAGTCGAGATGGGAAGACTTGCTCCTGGCCGAGGACCACCCATTCAAAGGCCCTGACGGCAAGTCCATTGAGCAGATTCACAGGCTCCAAGCCTCTCCTTGGCGTGGCGGAGTTGTTCTCTCCACGAGGAGCATTTGCCTGATTTGCTGCATCTTGATCCATCCAATGCTGTGCTGGCAGTTGTGCTTCCAGCAGCCGAGCCTAGCTCCTTCGGAGCTATTGCTTCTCGGCTTGAAGGCCCTCATGAGGTTGTGCTGATGGATGAGACATCGAAGACATCCTACAAGCGGCTTGTCCTCCTCATCGTGATCAAAGGGAAGGTTGCATATCAGCTACCAAAGCCGACGCTCAAGTTCACAACTGTGCAGGTCGCCGAGTTGGTGCTGGAGATCGACAATCGATTTGTCACTAAGAGTGATTTCGAGAAATACCGTGAACAGCCCATCCCAACGTTCCGGAAGCTCACTGGTAACATCATTGACAATGTTGCTGAGTTCATCTACTACGGCTTCAGGTTGAACCACCATCCTGCGTCCAGCAAGGATGACATCCAGCTGCAGTGTATTGTCAAGATCCCTCATGCATCGAGGAAGCCTTTGTTGGAAGCCAGTGGACGCAATGTCTTGTTCATCAGAGATTACCTCGAAAGAGGTCAAGGAAGCCTTGACACTTCCGTGCTTCCGAAGTTCTGGCAGCCTACTCTTTCCGACC